AGCTCATCGAGGAATCCGCAAGTCAATACGAGGAACAATTATTGCCCCAGAAGGACCGCCGATGCTTTACACCATATCAGTAGAGTACAAACAATGGCAGTATATTGTTTCTCAGAGAGGTTTTCATCTTTTTATTCATCCATTCATTCAACCGCTCACTCTCTAGGGAAAATTAAATCAATTTAGGGGCTCCATTTAATGATTCCTTCACTCCACGTGTTGTCAAGTACATGACGGTCCTTAACTGAAGAGCATATAATACAATAATAAAGCCATCAGATCTTAATGAAATGCACTTATGTCCATTCATTTGATAAACGGCTACTCAGCTGTAGTTTGCCATGCTACAATCTAATTGTACTTTGAAGCGGATAAACAAAACTAGCACTAAAGTTACTTAAGCAATTTTTTAATTCTCACTCTGTTGTTTTTGTTTATCTCAAATTCTCTGAACTGTCAAATAGTGCTCTGTAATTTTATGCTCTGCATTTGACTGTCATTGTACTAAATACAAACAAAATGTTTTATAAATAAAACTACGACCATTAATAATTTAACATTTAGATGGCATAAAAAAATGAGGGGTTCACAATAAATTAAGGTAACAGTGTTCAATTTGAAGAGGTACATTTATATAAATGTTTTGCTTTGTTTTCCTACTGACATCCTCTCTACAGTCTTCCTACATTACATGTATGTATTGCTTATTTGTTTTGCATTGCTTTGATTGTTCTGTGTACCTCCGACGTGACATCCCCTGATATCTTAAAATTGTAAAAACTGACTCGTTATAAACTTATAATCTCTCCTATCACCAACACAATTTATGTCAGTATAGTACATAAAAAAACAAACAAACAAACAAAAAACGCAGCGTTACATATATATATAGATCAGTGGGAGAGCCCCATTCTAACGTCTACTCACCTATGTGCAAGCGCTCTCAATTATCCACTTCTTTATTATGGCAAATGTAGGCTAAAGTGCCCCGTTTCTGATCATTCGTTCATTTGTTTAATTTATATTTTGCCTAACTTTGAGGTTTCTTTGCACCTGCGAGTTTGATGATACACTAATGCGATAATAAAAGCTTACGACTGGTAACTTTTAGTAACTCCTTTAGCATTGAGTCTTTTTCAGCCGCAGTTTGCCAACAACGTTGCGTTATTTGAATATTGATTCTGATTGGTCAGTTTCGTGAGAGACGCCGAATTTATGTTTTCAAAATTTTGCATGGGCTAACGTCTATTAAAGAAAAATAATATACACGTTATGCACTTCAGTGAGTAAACTGATTAAAAAGTTAACTTTATCAGCTTCAGTGTTTTGCTCAGCGTCCCTATGCCTCATCTGATGAACAACCACTGAACCAGTTCACCAGAATGAATCGTGCTTTCAAAGGCTACGTATGAGAGAAAGGTCTGTTTAGGAAAAACGGATTCACTAGAATGAATTGGACTTTCAAACACAACACATGAGAGAAGGGACCGTTTACTATGAACCGATTCACTTGAATGAATCCAACTTTCAAATGCCACACACATGAGAAAAGGACCATTTAGGACGAACCAGCTCACTAGAATAAATCATATTTTCAAAATCTTCATATGAGAGAAATAGCTATTTAGGAAGAACCGATTCAATAGAATGAATTTGACTTTCAAACGCTACATATGAGAGAAGGGGCCATTTAGGATGAACCGATTCCCTTGAATGAATCTGACTTCCCTGAAAAAAACAGGTAAAACCAGCCTGTTGACCAGCTATGACCAGCTAAAACCAGCCAACCAGCTTAGACTGATTTTAGCTGTTTTTTTACATTTTTTTTAAATTTATATATATATATATATATATATATATCTGAAAGCTGAATAAATAAGCTTTCCATTGATGTATGGTTTTTAGGATAGGACAATATTTGGCTGAGATACAACTATTTGAAAGTCTGGAATCTGAGGGTGCAAAAAAAAATCTAAATATTGAGAAAATCGTCCAAATGAAGTTCTTAGCCATGCATATTACTAATCAAAAATTACGTTTTGATATATTTACGGTAGGAAACTTACAAAATATCTTCATGGAACATGATCTTTACTTAATATCCTAATGATTTTTGGCATAAAAGAAAAATCAATCATTTTGACCCACACAATGTATTGTTGGCTATTGCTACAAATATAGGCTACCCGTGCTACTTATGACTGGTTTTGTGGTCCAGGGTCACATTTGTGAAAAGGACCATTTAGGATGAACCGGTTCACTAGAATGAATCAAATTTTCAAAGCTACAGAGAAAGAGCTATTTAGGAAGAACCGATTCAATAGAATGAATTGGACTTTGAAACACTACATGAGGACCGTTTAGGACTCACTGAAATGTATTTGACTTTCAAACTCTATGAGAGAAGTGACCATTTAAAATGAACCAATTCACTAGAATAAATTGGACTTCCAAATGCTGCACACAGTGTGAGATAGTGAGAGAGAAAGAACTGTTTGGGTGAGTATATTTGATCATTCCTTCAGCACCGAGGTGGAAAGAGTAGCTTGTACTTGAACACTTATATGTCTACTATTTTCAGTTAGTTACTCTCCAACACTGCAGCTGCTATAAACCCGACAGACAGTCACAGACGGAGTCCTGGAATCATCTATTGGGCCTGCTTGTGTACATAAATCGCTTAGAAGCCTGAAGTGGACAGTGTGTGGCTGCAAATCCAGTCTGCTAAAATCCTCCTCTCTGCTTCTTATCTCAGTGGGACACAGGATAACAGAGCGCTTCCAACCCCATCCCCGTAATGGACAGATCACCACAGCTGCGGCTCCTATTTGTTATAAGCAGAACCCTTGACTGGCGCGCTGAAGATGCCTTACAATACTGATAATGTTGTTTGTCTTCTAATTACCGTTTTCTGGAGGCAATCTGCCTGGAATCTTTTATCCTCAATCACAACAGCAATCAAACTCATTGTGTTTTGAATATCGCACATTGGTCAAAAGCCCCACTGAATGCCACAGAAATTAAAAGAGAGCTCGGATGTATTTATTAGGACTCTTGAGAGGAAAATCACATCTTGACATGCTGCTGAAGTACGGTAGGCTGAGATGGCAGCAGCAAAGGCAGAATTTGCTGAATGGAGCAGTCAGTGTACGTCAACTTGAAAGCTGGGGTGGATTTCCTGTCTTCTCACATCTCCTGTAGTCCTAAACTTAGCCTTTATACAGTTTCTGAAGATAACAAAGACAAATTTTCATCATGAGATTTGGTTTCACGTCAACGCATCTGGACTCAGGAAACATTTTGAAACCGGAACAATCGCTGAACATACTGATAAAGCCACTGGACGCTGAGTTAGGGCAAGATGTCTTTTCAAGTCTCCTGATACTTATCAAGGAAGATACAATGAATCGTGGCTCTGGCGGCCCTGAGAAGTGTCACTAGTGGAATCGGTCTTTTCCGTTGCTATGGAGTCGCAGGTTGGAAAGCCCATGAGACCAGCAGTACCCAAGCAGTGGATGGGAGAAAACCTGAATCTGCGCATAATGTGGCGTGTCTGAATAATGCTGACCTAAAAACTCTTTTAAGAGGCACATAAATTATTGTCAAAATTCCTGGAGGATTTTAAGTCCCAAGGGACACTGGAGACACTTAAGCGATGGATTTTACAAACATAATTTGTTGGGTTTTGTTTTCTTTAATAAACAGTGTGTTTCCAAGCATATGCAGAAAAATAACCACTATAGTCTACTGCTTTCCATTTTGCATCACTTGTCTTCCTGCATATGTGTTTATCTCCATTAGTTATAGACCAATCCATTGGATTTTGATATCACTTTGAATCCCTATTCTTCCTCAAAATGTGTTTATTTGTGTTAGTTAAAGACTGATCTAATGGCTAAACTGATCAATCAGCCAAAATTTGGCCACTTTGCCAATATCTACATGTAAAATTGATCAGTTTTAAAAAATACTTTTAGTTAATTTTTAAGGAAAATTAATTTCAAGGTACCTGTGTAAAACTCAGTTGCTATAATTCAATTGGCTCTCTGGAAGAATTGATTCTTGGTTGTTCAGTCCTCATATATTTCCCAATAATGACCGTTGCCCATGGCAACGCTGTATATCTGACCTCATCTTATGTTTCATAGCTGCCCCTCTTTCGTCCTTAAGTAATACAACACAAAAGCAAATCACTATTTCATATTAATATAAATTCAGTGTTTCATATTTATTAAGCAGCCGTATTTTAAGACATAATGTACAGTCAGATGGCCAATGTTGCAAAATAAACCTCTTCATAATCATCCATGACTTTACATTATAGCCATCCATACTTATCACATAGGCTATAAATCGGCCACTATAGTGGTATCGTTTTCCGGTTGACCAATCCGCGTCTTAGCCTAAGCTTCTTCATAGCACTAAAAACTTTGTTACAAAATGATTAAGATGTTATCAAATGAATATTTCTCAACAAATCTTACTGATTAGATAGGCTTCACATCACACCACACATGTTTTTGTCAAGAGGTTTTTTCCTCTCTCCTTCTTGTATATAAAGGTCTCTAAACTTTGGGGATCGTTTGTGCTTCCCTGTAATACAGAGATCATTAAACCAACCTTTTAATGATCGATCTCACGGAAGGAAATCACTGATTTTCAAGTCCAAATTAATATTTATGTCTAAACATCTTTTTCAGATTCTATACACCCCATGCTTTGACTATAGAAGCAGCACAGCATGACAAAACGCGTTTGATCTGTCTACTCTATACTGTCTGAGATACAGGAGAAGTTGCCAAGCTTGTCCGTCACCAGCCTCACATCTCCAGCATCACAGCTCGTCAATTATTGGACTCTGTCCGACAATACAAACTTAGAAGTTCCTCATCTTTGCCTTTAAAGTCAATAAACCTATAATGAATACTGCATTCGGTAATGATAAAACTGCAGGGACAAAACGGACGCGTAGTGGAGAAAGAACAAAGGTGCGTACTTACAGCATTCAGCGCACTTTTCCCTATCTTTGGTTCTTTATCCTTTGTCCAAAGGAATAGAAATCTCCGTAGAATCGCTCGCGTTTGTCGAGTAGTCCGAACAGAGATGAGAGTGACCCCTTTAGCACTTCTTCGGGGGAAGAGGACTGTGTATTCCGCATGTGTGGTCAGTGTTAAATGCGCAACATCGACCCGAGCGCGCAGCACACGCAAGGGGAGGCAGAAAATGTTAGCGTTGGATTCAGGGGCTCTTCTGACCAGCGGATCCAGCACTAGAGGGGTTTACTAATGCAGGCGGGGCCACAGTCCCCGAGCGCACCTGCATCTGGGACAACAACGTTTGAATTGGGGGTTTGTAGCATTTACGAGTTTTAAAAAAAGACAATTGAATAAATTATACGTTTGTTTTAAAATTATTATTTCATGATCGTTCATGTAAATATTTTAGTATTGTACCTAAAATAGACCATAGATGATCATTTTACATGTCCCTTCTGATACCATTACAGTCCCCAAGTCTGTTAAAGTCATTTTTGCACACTCCCTCTCCTGAAGCTGACTCTGATCAACTTAAAGATAGATAGATAGATAGATAGATAGATAGATAGCATTTTTGCACACTCCCTCTCCTGAAGCTGACTCTGATCAACTTAAAGATAGATAGATAGATAGATAGATAGATAGATAGATAGATAGATAGATAGATAGATAGATAGATAGATAGATAGATAGCAGACAGACAGATAGACAGAGAGAGATAGATTATGGATGGATGGATAGATAGATAGATAGATAGATAGATAGATAGATAGATAGATAGATAGATAGATAGGTCTAAAATAGATAGACAGACAGATAGATATGTAGTGATAGACAGACAGACAGACAGAGACAGAGACAGACAGACAGACAGACAGATAGATAGATAGATAGATAGATAGCTAGATAGCTAGATAGATAGATAGGTCTAAAATAGATAGACAGACAGATAGGCCTAGATAGATAGATAGATAGATAGATAGATAGATAGATAGATAGA